GTGTCCCTATTTAAACCAGATAGTAAAATACTAGTGAATTTCCTCTCTGTTCATAAATGGTAAACACCCCGGTCGATATTTTCATTCTTTCACATAATAATTAACATGAGATGATACTAATAATAAACTTGTTGCACAACTTGACACTACTAGTTATCCAATGCCTATCAGGTGACGAAAAATTGTGTATCATAACTGTGACCGACCACAAGTACTAGGTTGGTCTATTGATTGCTAGGTCTTCACAAAGTAAATAGGATGTATAATCAGAAGGAAGTTCTGAAGCCACTTACAGCAAGGAAAAAAAGCAAAGTCGACACCCTATAATGGCCAGTCCCGGAGAAGACCCGGACATCAGTTCTTTCCTAGATGCGGCCCTCAAAATATAACCAAAGTTTTAGTAACTCACGCGAATAAGACAATAGATATTATTTTCAAGTCTCCCTTTCATATTAGGAAACTTAGGTGAAAATATACTGCGATATCTCGAATATTGTGCCAACTGAAACATGAGGTGGCCTGTGTGCAGCACATTCATTTGTAGAATATCATAAACGAGAAATTCATTTGAGTCTCTCATGAAAACCAAATTGATTTGAAAATGAGTATTTCTCAAAAAGTGGAATTCGGGTTCAAGTAAAACATAAGATTGACGGAAACTTGGAGACTGCACCTACCTGATGAGCCCCAAGAAGAGCGAAATCTGTCGTGGATTGTCGGAGCGTTTCCAGCAGCCTTTGGAGTAGTTTCCTTAAAGGTAATTTAGCTTTTCGAACTACAGCTGAGCCGTATACGCATTTTGTTAACCAGTTTCGCCGTAGCGTGCGCGGAGAGCCGAAAGCCTCCAGTAATTCAAAAATATACACAACACACATGCGATGACCTTGGCTATTTTTCACTCAAGAGTAACTTTTCTGATGATTTCCAGTGAGGAATCCAGACTTTGGTTCTTACATTCTATAAAAAAGTATCTTCCTCCAGTTCATCCGCAGTGTCAAAATCCTGTTCTAAACTTCGCAGGGAGTGAAAACTCAACACCCTGTTGCGCGTAACTAACGTGACTGTCCAAATGGATCCCATTACATTGTGTTCTTTGATCATAAAAACTAATTCCGGGGGCATAGCTAACCTCGTGAGTTCGAAACACTAGAATTTCAACGTTTACCCAATAAACGACTTACACTCCGGTGCATTCAACTCCGTCTAATAAACGGAGCGAGAAAAATGATTGAAAATCTCGGCAGGTCCATTCGCATAATCCTGGAAGGAACAACTTTCGGAGCATAAATACCCCAATATAGTTGACTTTTTTGATTCTTTTGCTATGTTTATTTTCCTGTAGGATAACAACTATTTAGACGTAACACACTACTCAAAAGGTTTCTTGGGATTATTTGACTGGCACTGGGGCTTCTTCAGATAGACACAATTCCTGAGTATCCGTTAACCTCATGTTTTAAGTGAACCAATAATGAATGTAATACGCCAATACTCTCATTGACACAGTACTTTATTTGTAACGCAAAACTCTTTTGAATCCGGTTAAACCTCTCGCTTATGGTAGCTCTCTTTACTTGAAGTTTTGAAAAATTCGCAACATGTATGGGAGAAATACACTGGTCTTAACTAATGACTTGAATTAGCGGTATTCAGCGTGATCCTGAGACATCACCGTGGAAGTGATTATTGCTTTGTTCGGGCAGTATATATGTTAATGGAATAACATCTGTTTACAACTTTATTTGGTGTCAGCGCATCTCTTAAGTGGAACAAAGATTAATCTCTCGTCTACAATATTTTATGTATACTTACGCTTGAACTTTTACTTCTTAGGTAAGACTGTGTCGTTTCGGCAATAACACTCATTTGCGTATCAATTTCGTTTTCAGTTTCGTTTTTGTGGGTGGCGCAACTGAACCTCTTGTTTATGGTATTACTCAACTTAATATGCTGCACAAAGGTCGCCTCATTTTTCAGTTGCTACGAGGTTTGAGATATTGTAGTACATTTTCATGAAGAAAAATACTCACAAAGCTGTCGAAGAGTTTTCTTCAAATCTGTGAACATTTTCCTGCATGAAAGTAGAGCAGACATGCTTCCCGCATGTGCTGAAAATTCAGGGGAATTGAGCGACTAACTGAGCCTTAGCTTGTGCTCCCTGGAAAAAGTGAGGATCCTAGCCTCTTTCCAGATTCAGTAATTTTTCACTTCCAAACATTAATAACGACACTACTAAATAGTAATTCACATGTCATAAGGTGAAATTTCTAACTTTTTGTGATATGCACTGCAAAACTGTTCGTACTTTAACAGACAGTCGCAACCAATTCCATATTACTTTTACACACTGGTATTCCTGTCTAACCTAAAATTCCTGGTTAATGTGCACGCTAACACTGTCTTTCCACCATGAATCCAGTCAATATATAGCGCAAATTCAGTCTCTCACCCCAGAACTGCGCATATTTGTGTCTATCAGGATGAGGATAGGGTAGAAAATCACCGGTTGCTTTGGTGATAATCGTAAATCGACCAGAACAAGGGATTTCGTCCAAAATCTCAGGGTTATGTGGTATGGGTTCTGTGGTACGTTATATCGTTGTCCGCTTGTGTTGAACAATAAGGCTGGCACACATCCAGAATGCAAACTCGTTTTCTTCACTACCGGGTGTGTCCGTTTGACAATACTTTTATGGCTCAGAAGCACAGCACCCCAGCACAAGCGAAAAAAACATGAGAATGGTTGCATCGTCTCAAAAATCACTGAGCGATTTTCTGTTATGCAACTTCCCAGACCATTCAGCACATAAATGCTGGCATTTCATTAACTCCGTGAATTTTATGATACTTCCTAATGGAGAATTCGGTAAGAAGAGTACCTCACCGCACTACCTCTATTAAGCGCTTTGCTTCCAAACAGTCTTATTAGGACCTTCTAAAGTACCGTCAAACGACCCAGATCCAGACACTTGTAAGTAACAATTTGTAAAATTTTGATAAGTCGCTGTCTAAATTCGTATCTACACTCTAGCAGTTTGTCCAATTTCTCAGAGCTTCGGGAGAGTATCGTGGCAGAAGCTTATGATGCGTCACTACACGCCACGTTTCGCTATTTTAGTGTGTTGCTCTGAAAACTGAGCCGACACCTCACGACAAGTGGTCGTTTGATGCGTGTCTATATTGTTTGTGTATGTTTGTACACATTTCTCAGTGTCACTTGCAGCTTCCTGGACCATCCATATCAGCTTTTGCATATTTCTGTCTTTCTCAGAAAATCATATCTTAAGATAGTGCGACAGGTTCATTGTGTATCTATCATCTTCAAGCTTCCTCCAAGGTTCCGAGTGCACATTGCATCCCCGACGAAATAGGCTAAATATTGCTGGGTTCTTGAAACGAATTCACATAGTTAGCCACTGATTGCAACGTTAGTTTTCCTATTGCTTCAGTCGTGCTCCAAATCATTAGCAATCATCAGTCATCGATATCCTCAAACTCAGTGTAAGCTCTTCAAAACAAATCCCTGCAACTTGTGATGCTCAGTTAAGCGAAAAAAACGTGATGCTTCTCTCGACCTCACAATTTGAACAAAAAAACCCGGGCAACATGTTGTCGTTATTTGCTACTTGTCAATGTTCCTGTTTTGATCGTTTGAGTGACCATACTGGTGCAGAAATCAAGAAAGGTTTGGGAAAGATCATTCATAACAATAATCAACCACAAAAACCTTCGTTAGACGTATCATTCCTGCTCATTCCATTTGTCGCTTCTGTAACTTTATTCAAGACCAAAAGTTATTCTATAAACAAAAACTGGAGACCTGAGTGTATCTTATTCAACTGCGTACGGAAATGTTTATCGGCAGTAAAAATTGTGCAGATAGGCTCGCACGCACACGGCCAATCCTCCGGGGCCCAAAAGCAAGGGACTTCTTAACAGCCATCTTTTTACTGTGTGCAGTCTAGTGCTGTTAGACATGAAAGAATTTTAATGCTTCATCTAAAACAATGGTAAAGTAACATACGATGTCTGCTCTGCCAGTCTGCTTCACAGCCAACTTTGCGTTAATCAGCCATTAGTGATTTGTTCTTCATTGAGCACGATAATTCTTGTAGAGATAGTGTTCTTCACAGATGAAACATGCATGTGCACAAGAACTACTCATTTTTCTTTCAACCTAAGATCATTTTTCTTATGTGATCGAATTGGTTTGAAGGTTTTAAAGTCAGAAAGAATAGCGCCGTTGCAAAAATAAGTTCATATAACTTTTATACCATACTGTGGGTGACTGTAATTTGGTACCTTGAGAATAACACGGCATGTTCTCCAGTTCCAAGTTTGTTAACTGAAAATTAGAGTCAACCGAAGATTTAAAAGGGCTGGATCTAAAAATCAGTTCTTCCCTTATTTGAACCCGTTACATACAGCAAATTTGTTGCATTGCTAACCAACACTTCTCCAGAAACGGTTTTGATTTATGGTGCAGACAAGCTTTTTTTGGTCATTTCAGCATCAGAAGATTGGCAAGGCAGTTGTGCAACCAGACGCTTTCGCGCATAATTTGGCAGCAATTAGTCCACGGAAATTTCTCCCATTATTAGATGAAGAGGCGTCCATCATCAACCAAAGTGCATATATCTGGAATGTGAGACGACTTCCACCTCCGTGAATTCTTACTAATTTGTTCACAAGAAAAGAACCATCACCGATGTGATAATATAAGCTGCTTGCCCCGGGTGAAGCAGAGAAACTTCTGGGGGAGATAATTTAATTTACTATGAACCTGCGCACATATCTTTGAAAAAACGTTATTCTATGAGTCCCAGCGGCCCCCCTCAAGTCTGTGTCATTAATTCTAATAAAGACAAAATCTCATCAAAAATGCCAATGTGTCCGGTGAGAGCGGTTGCTGAGTCCGAGACAAATACTCAAGTATATGAATAGTTTTCAATTATTTGGATTACATCTGCCCGAACCCTTTCTTTTCTCCTTTATTACAGTACACAAAATACAAAACTAAATGTTCCATCTAAGCTGAAACGCATCTTCTTTGAATGGAAGAAGGTAACTTAACACAGAGAAAAGATTACACGAAGAAGATAATGCATTTGTCCAAAATGGAAGACCTACCTTTTGCGAAAGCTTGGAAATATAAATGGAAATGTTCGTGAAAACTTAATTTATCCATTTTTCAACTTTCGGTAGGGGTACAAAGTAAGGTGATTATATGATTCTTGAATTGATTCTTGTGCAACACAAGCAACGTGAATGTTTGTTAGCGATTGGATACGCATTTCGTGATGAATTTATATGATCTCTCAGTTTTCAAGCGCACCTCCTGTAATTCTACCGTAAAAACAGATGAGTAGATAATGAACTGTTACACTTTTATTTTCATTGTTATCAAAGAGTTGTCAAATGGTGAAATCACATGCCCATTCCGATTTCTGACCCTTAAATATCTTCCAAGGAACCAAAAGTAACCGCCTCTAGTGAAGCTCACATATCTTTTACTGTGAATTGAAAATACCAGTTATTTTCAAAACTCTCATTTGTTACCTTTAACTTGCTATGCACATTCAGTTGGATCCTGACCCCCGGAAGTAGCCCACTAACAATGAATAACGCCGCGCAAAACATGATGCCCATCATTACAGCTCTGTTGATGATTCTTAAACCACGTCATAAAATCTCATGCCAGCGAATTCCGATTCAGTTTTTCTGCTCAGTCTAATCTAAATTGCCGGTTTTGACATACGTCTATTTCGGTCTTAGCAACCGCTTTGTATTTGCACATCACTGATTTTCTTGGTAGTGTGCTAGACTGGTATAGTGCGTTCGATCAGTTCGTTGTTGTCAGATCATCATAAACTAAATTTTATAGGCCAAGTAATTACGCAAGCAATTAATCGCAAGTCGTTTTGATGCTTTACCAATTCATCAGAGAAAATCTGTTGCGGATTAACTCACGGAGGAGCAGTCTTTGCTTAATAGTTCAGAGGGCAACCAGTAGGCAGCTGAATTAGACATAACGCGGTACACAGTTATACTCGGGCCCACAAACTATGTAACATCAATCTATTCACCAGTGCGACAGAAGTTCAGATCCATCTGGGTAAGAGCTTGATGTCAATGAAAGTATAATGAGTGGGAACAGAAAACGGAACATCTGCCAGTGACATGGGACAAAAAGGAACGTAAACATTCAAAAGAAGGTGGGATTTAAATTCTACTTCTAGTTCGTTCATGAATCGGCGTGTGGTTGGCTAAGACGCACTCGTTTTCCAGATACATGCTTCTGAAGACAGAAGCCTTGTCTCGTGCTCTTATGTGGTCAAGAGGGCCTTGTGGTCCCCATCTTTTCTCTAGAAAATGCGCCTTTTATTACCAGTGTCACATTTTGGAGGTATCAAGATGCATGTTTCTGCGAAGGGTGCGTCTTTGAAGAACACAGCTGCATTCATCCAATTTTAGCTTTTTTATTCATGTACGCAGGACATTTAGAAATACGCTTATCTACTGATGTCAGGGTGACATAAGCATTCTTAAGCTTAAGATTAAGTTATACCTAAAACCATCTGCACGCAGTCAGGTTCATCGCAGTCTGCTTGAGCAACAGTAGCTCGAATTCACACTGAACTGTTTCGGGGATGAACCCCCTCCCTAGTGTAACAGGTGTTTTGTCCAGTCAAATCACCACAAGCTTACAGTAATTTTTGATAATATTCCGTATTAAGTCTAGAGGTATTTTCCCTGTATGATATCTGCACAGATGTCTGAACCATTCATATTTTCACCAATGTTCTTTTGCATGATTAGTTATTCGTTTGTCATCAGTTTTCTTAGTGTTCATGTCATGAATCTAAGTGACACAAAAGAATGTGGCTGAGATGTATACAAGCCCATCAACAGAGTGTAGTAAAAAATTCTAAGAAAAAGACTGCACGACCATTTGTTGGTAGAACTGACTAATGTCAGGGCTGAGGATGTTTGCATATTCATTTTGAATGATCTGTTTCAATTTGTCAAAAAAGAAAACTGGCCCAAAAATTTGTTGGTAGTGTGAGGACATTTGGGAATTTTAGTAAATATTTCAACGTGTGGGCAAAGCCAGCTTATGCCGAAAAGACTAGAAACACTGTACTATCGATACATCTTTATTGGGAATCCTCCGCTCTGCGAAAATCCATAGTCTCAAACAGTAATCTGCCGACTAGCAATCTGAACGCTTGATGGTTCGGCCGCTCAGTGCTGTAAATAACTTGCTGGTAGATGGGATACAGTGACACTCATTCTTCTATCATGGCATGCACATCATGTGGTCAGCTTTTGGCTAGCTCCTCGAGTGACGACGTCAGAGATGGGGAAGCTAACTGATGTTTTTCGTCCTCCAGTAAATCTCTATTCCTCACTGTGTTCAGTATTTTCACCGAGTTTGATTGAACCGCCTCTCTGGACTTCCCAGTCATGTGGTGCCACAGACGCTTGAAACCCGATGGACAACTTTCTTTTAGATAAAACCTACAAAAAAGATTATTCAGTTTTATTTGCATGCTTATGCGGCGAGCAATTCGTTTTAAATAGGAACTGGTGAACCCAAATTTGATTGCATAATTGAACGGCACGCGATCAACTCAAAATTCCTCAAGTACTATTCGGTGTAACGGTACTGAGGAAAGGTTTTCAGGAAGTCCATTCACAGTGCAATTCAGCTTCACGCTAATGAGACAAACGTGCATCGTTTCGGTCGCATCACTGATGGAGATCCAGCGGTTGCTACTCTCTAAAGAAACCGGATTTCCTTTGCTTTCAGAACGGTTTCAACCCCTTGGAGAAAGATCTTCAGATAATCGTTGTGCTTGGTCTTAATATGGACGAGTATCCCACATTTCGCATAAGCATAATTACTGGTGACATCCCACCAAACAAACACAGTCGTATTGCAGCTCCCATAAAAGCTATATTTAGGTCAGTCCTGTGTGAAGCATCTGCGTTCGTGGGCGGACGATTATCTAGGTATGATTCTTTGAGTGTATGTTACTAAGAGCAAGCTATAAGTGTCCAGGAATTTTTCCGACTGTGTAGATGGATTTGGTCAACCAACGAATAAGAAAATTAAATAAAATGATGGAAAAGCCATATTGAACTCTGTCACTGTGATAGCTTGACAGGCGTTTGGCTGAGATTGACTAACCTTTTGAGATCTTACGAAAAGTGTCATGATAGTCTGGCTTGTCTGTTGAGCTGAATAATTCAATTGCAAAATTTTTATCATCAGTCAAGCTGATATCATCAGCGCACCATTGGAAAGCAGAGTGCCGTTTAGTGATGCGTCGGTTGTTGTACACTACATAGTGGCGCGAGTGTGGTAACATGCGTGTGGTTAGTTGGAATCGCTCCTGGATCAGGACTGATTGTGGATTCGAAAGTTTCTTGTGACTGTTCGTCCTTTTCCATGCCACAGTTTCCTGTGTTCTGTTTTTGTGTCTTGTCGAAGTCCACGTTACATTTGGATCTGGCACCTACCGCCCCCGTTCACTGGTCAGTATTCTGGTGATATCTCTCCTTGACCCCTCTAAATTCCAGTTTGTTGCCTTTGCTTATGTGGTGAGTTTCCTGTTTCTTGGCGTTTTTTAATCAGATAGTGGACTCTTTTTGAGTATTCTAGTTGGTTTGCTGGTTCTTTGCATCTGGTTTTGTGTGAACTGGATCAAAGTCAATGTGTCGGTTGATCAAATCCATCGCTCAAAAAAATGCCTCCAGAAATTTCCTTCTGAGTCTAATGTCTCTGTACGATTAGGAAACCCTTTTCCAGAGTGGGCTTGTGGCCTTTCGCTTTTTATCTATGGGAATCAAGGCCAGAGGGTAGCGTCTTATAATGCTGTCCCGCACCAATGTGAAAAAAGGTAAAACACATTGAGCGGAATACTCAAAAAGAGTTTAGTATCAAGTTACCAAACCAGGATGCAGGAAACTCTTTATGTCAACAATGACCACAAATTGGAACTTAGAGGACAGAGATCAGACGCGAAGAAACCGGTTGAGAAGGTAGGGGAAGTGAAACTCAAAAGTCACATCGTCACTAATAAAATATGACACAGGATTACACAATAATCAACATAACCTCCCAACCGAACAATCCTTCCTGATTCACGCTCAAAATAAGCTACCAGCAAGCTTATCAATATACTCGACCCACTACACATTGGACAACCTCTCGCGCACCAGTAGGCTGCACTCCGCTCTCCAACAACGCGCTGATGTTGTCACCTTGATTTGTGATAAAGCGTTCGCAAATACAGTGCCCGGTTTAGCAAATAAATCAATGAACATCTACATTCTTCACAACAGCAAAGTACAGTTAGGGAGTTTAATGATGTCTGGTAAGCTGTGTGACAAATAATTTTACAACTTGCACAACTATCTGACATCTCAGATTTGTGAACCCATGAGCACGAATTTATCCAGCTTCAGCAGCATGGCCAATCACAAACATCTAGCTATTTTTGTTCACTAATGGTTCTAATAATCAAACGGTTCTGCCTACTGACAACACTCATCACCATGCGACCACAAATGACACCATACATTGGTCTAAGAGTAAAGATATCGTGAAAAACAAAATATCGTGGAATTTTGCCTCGAAGTTTTCGATGGGTATAGTGTATAAACAACCCGAAATCCAGTCAGACTGATACTGCCATTTGTATTGCTCCCTTTTTAACATTCCACTTTGTGAGCTGTGAAACCTAACAGTCTTTCATTTTGGCTCACCCACCTCGTAACACCACTGTACAGGTTAGACATATCCCACTCAAATACACCAGACTTGGTTTGGTTGGATCGCGTATCAACCCGTGTTTTGCATTCATAGTTAAAAGCAGAGATACAAGATGATTGTTGTTCGCTATCATTAATACAGGGTATGGAATATAGGTTAAGGAATGACACAGCGCATTATTCATGAGATGGCTGAAAACTTCCCGCTAATCCACCCGAGTTTCCATCGACTTTATATTCCATTTGAACACCAATATTTTGACAGTTGTTTTTGCCGTTTCAATGTTGAAAAATTTGCACAAACCTTCGATGATTTGAAAGTTCACTCCTGCGTAGTCTTTTTTAACTACAAGTTCATCTATCCTTGTACAAATCGACCGAAAAACACATTTGACTCGCATAACAGATGACTGAAATAAAAGATCCACGACACATAAGAATATGGAATAACGGAGAGATTTTCCGGGGATGAAAATGAGCTCGTAGCATTCACCTTGGTTTGCAAAGATCACGTGTTTTCAATGGGGACGAGAGGAAGACATTTCGGACAAGATTGCCGCGGATGTGATTCACAATAATCACCACTCGTAAGCATTCCCTGGCGCATGAATTTTGTTGCTTTGATACTTAATGAACTATGTGCGGGTTGGAATGGCTACATATTGAGAATCTGTGGGGTTTCGCCTGCTCAACGCAATTTTTTTTCGGAGTATGTGTAGCACAGGTTTTCTTCGCACAGGTACACAAAAAATTCCAATAAAAAATGACTGTTCAAAACCCGAAGAATTTCCACTAAGTTTCCTCGGACGCTTGGAATTAATCAATGTGTACTGTCCCAGATATCCAATACCAGCTCTCCTTAACTCTTCTTTACGTTTGTGTTTGAGCTCGCATGCGTTGTAGACGATGAAAATAGAAACGGGATGCTCGTACTTCCATCTCGGTGGTTAGTTACTTAAGATATCGTAAATATCCCAGTTTCAACTTGCACCAAATTTGCTTTCTAGCGAACAGTTCAAATATCTATTCTGTCACTGTTCTCATTCCCTAATCCAGTACACAAGTATCACCGGATTCTGGGTTTCAAACTGATACACAACGACTTCTAAAACACCCACAGCAAAGCTTACATGGAAGGCCAACGTATCTCTGCAAGTTACTGACCCGTTAGCCTCACACTTCTGTCTTATTGAATAACCAGAGGGGACTGTCGAGAATGGACTACAGAGTAACTTTGAGTAATCTGTTTTTTTTCTATCCAGCGCAGCACTATATTGCTATTACACTACACGCGTACTGGCCCTAACCAAATGGATGGAGGCCAATTAATAAACCCACTGACTCAACGTTGCACGCATCTACTTCATAGGACCTTTGCCTAACTTCTACAATAAAGTCTTTTGCGTCAGCTACACTTTAGCGAGCTTCGTTGGATGGTTAAAGTCTGACGAAGTACTGCTTCAGTCCCTCCACCCCACCATTAGCTTTCCACTTTGCTCAGCATGGTCGTTTCAGCTCTTTCCAGTTTATAAAATTCCGTTACCACCCTACAAACAAACTTGAACTGTACTCTCCCTCAAAGAATGCTACGTCATTCAAAATGCCCTTGTTGTCCTGTAAAAATAGCCCAGCCAAGGAACCCAGACTTGATGCCTCCAAATGCTTCGCTGTTTTCATCAAGGTTTACCATCGTCAGAATTTTGTACAGTGGTGCAAATCAAACGAAAATGACTGACTCGGAGAAGGATCTAGGCATAGTATTGGATTTTTTTTTAAACACTTTCCCGACGTAATATATCGGCAGCTCGTAGTTTTGTTATACTTTCTGGGTTCTGATTCAGGGAGCTACATAAGGTTCATCATCCGCAAGAAAGAAGAGACTTGCTAAATTTTACTAAACAGAGCCTATGATTCACATTTCGAAATTGTTTTGATACTGTATGAATATCAACAGCCTTTGACAACAGAAACCCGAACAATGTTCAAAACTTGACTTGTAAAAACCCAAGTAAATGATATTTTTCATCTAGCCGCATAGCTGGCATTCTCTCAAAGGAAATGGGTAAATTAAACGCACGAAGTTCATCCCAACGAATCTAGAGAGAAAAATATATGCTGACCATCTGAGATTTCGTTTGTTGCACTATAAAAAGACTTCAATTCCCTGACTGTTGGATGCCTGCTGATGACGACGACGGTTGATGCCGTCCTTCAGTGAACGTGTGCACTTCCAGCGGAAGAATAAAAAGGCACTAGAATGTCAAACCACAAATCTTGCATTATCGGACAAAGATTTTCATCCGAATCGTTAAAAACAGCGAGTCGGATAGAGAGAGCTGATGCACTTGGTTCACATACGGTCGGCCAGAACATCTTCACCCATCAGGCTGAAATAAACCTGGCATACCTGACGTACGGGAGCCATTTGATAAAAGCACTCAAATGAAATCTAGCCAGCTGCAGAAAAATGTTAGTAAGTTTGAATAAGGTCAGGAGTATTTGATGAATTTATATACGTTGGACTGGATTTGTGGACTCCCTGAAGTTGAATATCTACTGGAATATATTCACTTCGGTGCGTTTAATTGGTGTACTGTCGATGGCTAACTAATCAAGCAGTCCGTCAGCGCCGCCAATTCCAGAAAGCGCCACCACGTGATCGCGCCAAATTTACTGGCAAAGTTTCTGAATCACCCGGTTAAAACAAGCGGGCTCTTTGGAATAATTTTCTTATCCATTGTAATTATACTGTTTATGTAGAAGAGCAATTTGCTATTCGTGGGATACTGCCTTGTTGCCTTGGAATAGGTGACTTGGTTATTTGCCCCGAGACACTTCTGCCGCAGTCGCCCAATGTGAAACGGTTAAAGGCACTAGTATTCTATCACAGAAGGAGTTCACGCTAAGCAACTGTGAACAGGGACGCAAAGTTAGTCAGCAGTGCAGACGAGATTTTCGTCAACCGGATGCGCTGCACAAAGGCTGGGTACATGGATAGTTCAGGTACTTAACTTTGGCTTTCTAAATAGTACGGTGGGATCGGAAAAGCCCACAGGCAGCCCCCTTTAGTTTCTTGCTAGCTGAAGGTTACCAGGCTCGCACTACATAGCTGAGCTGGCTTTGTTAACGCATCCTTTCCCTCCGACCTGAACACATAGGCGAATGATCAGTGCTTCTCGATTTGGATA